CGTTGCGTGATGTGAATCTACCGTGGTTTTCACTTCACCAGATTCTAAAAATATCTATCTGCGTACTTCAATTTCATACTAATTATACCAATGACTTATGATGGCCATTAGCTCTGAATTGTGATAATGACCACCATTATCGAAAATTATTTTTATCCAATACGAACGAGGATTTATAATATTAAAGACAGCTTCAAAGCAAGATGCGGTAAACTATGCGTCCTGTTTGATATTGCAAGACCAAGGATTATATGCTTGAACGTCCATTTTTTCATTGTCTTTTTTTTTGAAAAAAAAGAGTCGTATAAAGGATCCACCCCCTTTTTCCAAAAAATTCACTTTTGGTCTCTCTTGCTATTGCTAGAAGAATACGCATCTTATAATCAACCACTATAATAGCTCTATATTCATCTAATTCATTCAATATCGCATTAAACTGTGCATCCAAATATTTTTTTCATGTTTGGTAAGCAAGGTAACAAGTAAGTTTTTCTTGATATTCTGAAAGTAATGTATTGTAAGAGTAGCCTAATATGTGAAACAGATTTGTAAAAATTTCAAAGAACTGATCACATGTTGCATAACGTGAAAAGTGTTATTCTTTGCATTCGCCAAATGCATATAGTAAGCAATAGTTAATACAATCTATGTAACTTGTTGTACCATTATTGTGTACTAATAATTCATTTTTATAATCTTTTTTTAGATGACAACGAAGTATTTCTAGTTGATTTATCAATTCATTCTGGTAGCAGATATTATTTTGTAATTAGTATTTTACAAATGAAAATAATGGAAAGAAAATATGATTTTTTTTATTTACTTTTATTTTCTTATCCATATTATTGCTTGATATTAATTTAATCAAATCTTCAAATGGTTGATAAGCATAATCATTATAAATAGGGCAAAGTCCTCCCAAGTCATCACGATATTTGAATCGTCCATTTTGTAAATGAGCCATAAAGGAAGTACGTTTCATTCCATCAGGATATATAGCCGAAAATTTCTCCCATAATGCACTTTTTTAGTCTTTAAGATAAAGAACAGGTAATTGTATTTTTTATCAATATGGTACGAACTCATGTTTACATTTCTTTATCAGCAAAAAATAATTCAAATTCTCTTTCTTTAATTTCATCCATTTTTTTACGAATAATAACAGGTTTGTCAACTGTCTTACATTCTGGACTATTTTTACGGTAATATTCACGACCAGCATAAATTGTTTTTGGCGAAACCTAGTAAAATTTTCATCAGGTATATATTTACCATTTATATGTAGTAATGTACAATAAATATTGTTTGATACTTATGTCGTACTTGTAAATTTTCCATCAATTCTTCATAAGTAAAGTTCTTTGCAATCATTGATAAAATTCTATTTTTTCCATTTAAACCATTAGGATTAGCATTAAGGCTTTCACGAAATGAATACCAAAAAATATTTGCGGTATCTTTAAGATTTTCAAATTCTTTATTTCTTATTGTTGAATTTAGCGTGATATTTAAAAATCCATTTGAATATAAGTTGAAAATAATTTCTTCATCACTTCTAGAATCTTTAGCACAACTCCAAAATTCCATCTATAAAATATATTTTATAATTAGATAATGAATAAAAAAGCAATCAAAAATTTTAATAATATTTACGTTAGAAATATCTTCTTCAAATGGAGTAATATTTTTACACCCAACTGTTCCGAAAATTGCTTTTCATGCTCGAAGTTCATGTGCACCAATTTCATGATTATCATTATAAACTTCACGAATAAATCTTTTTATTTCAATAATTGTACTTTTTTGGTTATACTAATGATTGAAAATACAATACCAAAGTTTTTCATCTCCGGGTATATGTTTTTTTAGATATAATTTGAACATATGTTACATAATTCTTTCATTATTTCAATCATCAAGAGAACAAGTCTCAGAAACCAAATTTTTACGTAATTCTTTAATTTTAGATTGCACAAGTGGATTGTTTATTCCAAAAAGGTCATCACCATTACAATTTTGTAGTAATTGAGTTTGTTTCTAAACTAAAGAAGCTGATTCGTCTTAAAATTGCTTTATTATTTTACCATTTTGAAAAATACTAATTGAAAATAATCCCTTTACAATCTTTTGCCAAATTACATTTTGTTTTCATTTATACTTATACATAAAATAAGACGCTAACCCTTCTTCATTATTTTTATCTGAAATAGACGCTATAAGAATTCTAATGTTATTATATAAACAAATTGTAAAAGGACAAAAACCTACACCATCAAGTATTTGTTGAATTACATGAGAATCATGAAAACCTAATAATGTGGCTCCTGGATATCTTGTTTTACTTTAACCAAATACTTGTTTATAAGTAGTATTTATAGCGTTAGAAGAACTAGATAAAACTCCACTATTAACTCTCTCTCCTTCACAAATAAATCCTGGTTTATTTGGATTTTGTAAGTTACGAACTATCTTAACAGCAAAATATTTTTGGTTGAGTTTTAAAGCAACTTGAAAGCTAAGTCTTAATGGAATAGGATATATATTGGAATTGTCAGAATCAGATTCAAAAAAGTACCACCAATCTCATAAAAAAGGACCATAATGAAGTTCTGAAACAAGGTTTCCTATATCAATAATATTTTCAGGAGTGTAGTGTCCACTTGATATCTTTAAAAGTGCAAATTGTTCAGGAATGCAAGATTTAGAATAAGCATATTTTAATTATAGATCATAACCCTGTAGCGATCATATAAAATTTCTACCTATCATGTGTAGATCAGCAATTAAATTTTTATTTAATAGTTATATCCTTTATATTTAATTTATTTACTATGTTAATTATTTTAAAAAAAAAGGATTAATTCTATTATTTTAAAAGATTTATTTATTAAAATTTGCTTTAATATGTAAAGAAAAAAATGTCTTAAAAATTTTATAAACATTATAAAAAAAATGAGTAAAATTTTACCAGATACTTTAAAAGTAAAATATGCTTCTTATATTTTAATTATAATTGCTTAAACTTAAAACAATCTGTTCTGAAGGTATATATTATAATAAAATTATTGTAATATAATTAATTTATATAATGTATTATAAATAGTTACATAAGTAACATAGTTAACATGATTAGTTTTGTAGATATATTTAATTTTGTAACACAGAAAAGTGCAAATCAACATGTCAAATATGTTAAACATATCTAACATATCTAATTAATTTAAAACATAAGTAAAGAACTATTTATATATAAGTAATAATAATGAAAAATATTCATCTGTTTGTTCACTCAAAATTTGAATCGATATGTAATTGATCACTTTCATTATACTTATACTTTAGACTTAATAACAATTTCTAAAATCATTCTCTAGTATATATAATATATCTGATATATTAAACATATTTAATATATATAATATATTAGATTTATATTAAAAGTATATAAAGAAAACTAAATTTATAATAAGAAAGTAACTATTAGTTGCTAGATACAATTTGATCAGTTCACTTGTAAAATATATATAACCTTTAGTTAACTGTATGATTATTTCTTATATTATTATTTTATCTTTTATTTTTTAATTTTATTAATAAATTATTTAATATAACTTGTAACTTTTGTATAAACCTTTTAAGTGATATCATTAACATTAAAATCTAACCAACTGAAGTGTAAATATACTTTATAATATATAATAGAACCTAATTAACTAAGGTATGAATATACTTTACAGTATATAAAAGAACCTTACCAACTAAAGTATGAATATACTTTATAGTATATAAAAGAATCTAACTAACTGAGATATAAATATATTTTACAATATATAATAGAACTATTAATTTATTGAGTTAAAATTAGATTATTATGTAAATTTTAAAAGAATCACCACTCAAATATTCTGTCTAAAAGTAATAATTCGATAAGATTGCATGTTAATATTTAATAATAATAATAGAATTTCCTTCTTTTATTTATATAATAACATATGAATAGATTATCTGAAATATATTTAGAATATTAAGTATTGATGCTTATATTAATAATTATAATAATTACACTTAAGAAAAAATTAGAGCTTGAATAATCTTAATTTTTATATATAATAACATATTGCAAAAGATATTATCAAAGTTTAGCTTATTTTAACAAATAAAATTTTTGAAAAACTGATCATATGATATAACAAACAATATGACATTAGCAGAAAAGATAATATTTATTTAGTAAATTAGAAAAAATAATAAGAGTAAAAGCGAAAGTGTTAATAGTATAATTGACAATTTTTAAAAATAATATATATTTATAATATTTATCATTTATTAAACAGTTTTAGTAGGTCACAGTCTTATAAGACTGTGACCTACTTACATTATAATGTGATCTACTTAGATGATAAGGTGACCTACTTACTAGTTTTTGTTGCTTTGTGGCTATTTAGTTATTAAGTAGGGTTGTATTTGTTTTTATTGCTCTATCCTATTTTTATTGCCTTCTAGATATCTGCTAATTTTCGTTACTCTGCGGTCTTTTTGTGGTTATTTCGCTATGTTGTATTTATTATTTATTTTGGGCTTGTATGCCATTTTGGTTTCATTATTGCTTTATGGTTTCTTTGGTATACTGGTCAGTTTTTCTTTTTCGTTATGGATGTAGGTTTCTTATTTATTGTTTGGGGCTTTCATGCGGTTCTGAGCTTTCTTTCTGCTATATGTTTTTTATTGTATACACCTTTTCCTCATTGAGTATTTCTATTGTAAGATCGTTAATTGGTGTTCTTAGGTTTGATTACGCCTGTGAACTTTATTTTGAGAGTTTGATTGAGGCGAGTGTGAATTATTAGGAATTATATCTTGGAGGTATCCTTTATGCGAGAAAGCCTTTCAGAGTCTTTGGGTGTCGAGTCTTTAGTACTGGCTTAGGTGAATCTACTTTGCGCAAAAAAAAGAGTTTGCATGCAAGCGAAGGCTTATTATATTACTGGCGAGTCTGCGTATCATATAAGCTCTATTTCATGTGGATCTAATCTAGCTTGTGCTGTGCTGTGACCTGATTTCTGAAGATGAAACTGTCTTCCAGGTAGAGCCAGATAGTATTGAATCAATTTCCACAATTTGAGATTCAAATGGATTATAATCCTTGTTTTTAGGCAGGGATGAAGAAGCCTGAGACTTGAATATTGGGCTGGATTTTTGATCTGATTCAGTATCACTGTCTTCTGATTCTGATTCTGTATCGCCTATGGCATAATTATCTCCTGCGTCAAGACAGTCTGATTCTTGCCTTAATGCAATTCTCGAAAGGTATTTAAGATGTTTAGGAGTTGAATTCTCACCACCATGAGCTCTGAAAGCATGCCTTTTTCCATAACGTCTTAATTTCCTAGGTTCAGCTCTATATGGTTTTAAGAATTCTCTAAATGGTCTTGTACTGTGCTTTCCGCTTTTAGCATAGATTGGATCACACAACTTATCTGCTTTAATTGCATCTTGAATCCAGGTGAGCAATTCTCTTGCGCATTCTGGATTTTTCTCAATGGAAAGAAATGGTCGGGGGTCAGGATTCTTCTTCTTTTCTCCCTTACTCTTTAAATAGCCTGTGCAATACCAAGAATAACTATCTTCATACTATGCCGTCACTAAGAAAATTTGTTAGTGACGCTCTTAGTGACATCCTTGTATGTTTTTTTCGTAGTTTAGAAATGCTCAGTTGTCTTCCTTTATATCTGTCACTATGTCACTAAGAGTCACTAAGAAAAAGTAAACTTCTAGGGAAAATCGATTTTTTTCTATGGTATATCTATCAGTATGCTATGTATATATTATATGTATGCTATATTTTTACTATACTCATAGATAAAAAAAATAAAAAGTAAAGAAGTCTGATTTTTCTTAGTGACCCTTAGTGACATGATACAGATGTCAATTTATTCTTTTCTGAGTGTAAGGTAAATTGGAAGAAAAGCTCTAGATGAAGACGATTAATTTTAGCCTCTTCTTTTAATATTTATTATTTATATTGCCAGATCTGAAATTCTCTTCTATCAATAGATTGGAGAATTTTATTTTTTCTCACATGTTCATTTGAAATACTATTTCTAGAAATGCATCTTTTCAAGTGGTTATCTTGATAGGTTATGGGATGATCACCAAGGCTATTTTCAGATATGAAAACTAAGGAGTCACATACACTACAATATATGTAATTTGATAGAAGACCATAGACTCTATCACTTCTTTCAATTAAATTTCCATACATCGTAATATATCTATTCTTAGAAAGAATTTCCCTGGAATAGTTATCTTCTAGTATTTTCCTAAATGGATCACGAATACGAGAGCATTACATTTCTGGTGTTTCGTGATCATGTCTTTTTGTTAAAGGGCCTAATCTTTCAAGTATTCTTCTATAATCTTCAGAGCCTCCATGAGTATTCCATGCATCAATTAGCTTAGAATAGGCTTTACTATCTAAATCCATATTAGCGTTTTGGTAGAATAACAGAATATAACGATTTTATTGATTTTAGCCGATTTTAGCTGATTTAGCAATATTATACTCTAATAAATAACAGATTCAAATTTACTGGTTAAGAGAATTATGGCAGTTTTAATGCTATATAGCGATTTTATCGATTTGTAGCCGATTTAGTGAGACTACATATTGCTAAACTCAAATTCATTTTTATTCGATTGTAGGGATTTATATAGAGTCATATCTAGCTAATTTTATATTTACATGCATATGCACAGCATCTTCGGCTAAATCGGTTTGTGGCATGATGTACTGTATATCGTATCACATGAGATCTCCTCTAGTTCCCTGCCAGTTCCTCGATAGTTCCAGGAGTGTTCCAGGAGCTGGCGAGTTTCCATAAATCACGAGATGATCGGCCAATCAGATTTCACCTTTCTTGACATGATAGCTAAGCCACCGTTATTATTCGATTATTAATCATTCATGGCGCAGTGTATTTTTTTCATTAGCGATGATCAAACAATTCATTATTATTCCGATGCATTATATACACCCATACTTATGTAAGTAAATGCCTGAGCTATGTGCGAAACTTTATATTTATTAGATGCGAAATTATAATATATATGCGTGGCAATTTGGCGCAGTAGTCACGCTATCGGCAAAGATTACTCGGAAAAGGTGTCGGCAATAATACTTTTAATTTGTGACTTGCAATAGCGTCTGCACTATAACTTTTTACTAATATCATTTACTCTTTTTTCACATCCCTCTGCATATCGATACCAGCACAAAATTTCTTCCTGATTGGTCTTTGCAACACGCAATCCAGCGCGAATTGCTTTTTGACAAATCTGGCTAACAGAAGTACCTACAACATCATTGTCATCGACTTCGGCTTGCTCACCCTTGACAGGCGTAGATAACACTCTCAGCAGGCCCTGGAATCTTTCTTGTTCGCGGATAATCCTTGGGGAGGTTTGTCTCGACGAATTTCTTCTTGATTGGGTTTCATTTTCTTGTATGCTAACATCATCTGCGCTATCTGGTTCCTCTGGGACCTCTTCACCATCTTAATTCTCTGGATTTCTAGAAACAAATAAAAGTTTGATGAGATACCCCTGCTATCTGGTCAGCACCCTAATTGCTCTGCATTAGTATACATGGCCTCTAAACGATCAAAAATAATAGTATAAAGGATTGATACCAATCACTCGCATGGAAGAATATTTGGTTGCATTAAGTGTTTTAACTTTTATTTGTAATACATTGATGCTGGGCGCCTTCATAAATTCGAAGCCAAAAAAGAAAGTATAAATTATTCATCTTTTTCTGGATTACATGAAAAATACGATTAGCTTGTGATCCTGAGTCGTTCATTGAAATGTGTAGTCACAACCAGAATACTCCTATGTAATGTCTCATTCGAAATTTTTTTTCGCTGGCACTTACATGTATATGCAAAACACCTTGGTAAATGTATGCGCTAGAAAAAAAAAATATAATATGTGCGTTTCTCAGATATTAACTCAGGTGATTGATCCTCACGTCCATTTCGGTAATTCCCGTACATTTATTCTTTCCCGTCTCTATGATAGAGAACAAAAATAAGGAAGACTTTGAGAAACGATTAATATGTAACCAGCTCAAGAGCGAGAGAACTCTGTGATGAAAATTGTTCTTGGTATATAGCATTACAAAAATCCGCATATACTGTAGTTATTCCGGAACATTTTAAAGAGATAGGACTTATTAAAACTTTAACGATAAGAGTAGTCAATTACATGCATATATATTGTTAAATACAATACGCATCCCACATACTGTACACATGTATAAAATATCTCTAAAAGCTCAATACAAGTATTTTTCAACATCATATATGATTATCTTTTTCACTAAATTAATAAAATTATGGTACAAGTAATATTCACGATTCAAAATATTTTTTATCATTTCTGCCAGATCGAATTGGAGAATTATCAAGATCACTATCTTCATTTGCGTCTTTAATACCGATTTTGTGTCTATCTTTATTTGGTGTAAATGGATACGCTGGAAGACTTCCGGAAAGTTTTGATGATTCAAACAAATTATCATTATGTTCATCTCTCAGCTGAAATATTATGTTGGAAGTTTCCAATAATCCACACTGTGTATCAAAAGACTGGTAAGGTAATGACGAAGTATTACAAAATAATTATAAGCCATATACAACATACTGTACCTTGAGATCCCAAAGGAGGACAACGAAATCGAAAATATGTTTACGATGTTCTTCATAACAAATCGGTACAATTGACTTATGTGATCGTTCGTATTGCAGAACACCGCAGGACGGGTTATACATTTGCCACAATTCAATGCGATCCTCTATAAAATGCAGGAAGTTAAATAAAAAATTATTGAAAAATAAGAAAAAAAATTTTTAAAAATACTTTCCATAGGTGTGTAACGAAAAAACTCTTAACTTCGAAAAAGTTTCAGGAGAACCACTCCGAAACTGCTCACCAATTTCTTCCAACATATAAGAGTTACCAATCGGTAGCTTACAACACCCATCCCAAGTAGAACGAGGAATATCTTTATGCCCATATCCTCCACTCATTTCTAAGTGGCCTACTTCCATTAATGATTTTCTTAATTTTACGGTAAAGACACCATCAGATTTTTGCTCATAAGAGTTGGTACATTTTCGTCGACTTCTGCAAGATTTAACTGATGATAAAATGACTTCCCCCCTTAAATAAAACTATGTCAGTATACAATATTTATCAAACATCAAACATCAAGTATCACCCCAAATAAAAGCTACTTACATATGATAATATAAACGATCTTCTAAGCCGACAAGTATTTTTTTTAAGCAAGGATGTATCAGATAACCTCCGTAATCAGCCTCTGAAACATCTAGCTGTTGCATAACAGAATCTTCTATAAAAACATATTTATGGAATAAAGATAAAACTTTCGCGAAAAAAGCAGTTAATGGATCTTCAGGATCTAATATTGAACACGTTATCTTAATATTTTCCAAAATAAGATCTTCTTCACTAGAATTCTGGCTAGTAATATCTTCCAGGAGATGAGCTTTTAATTTGTCTCTTTTGAACTTTATTATTTCGAGTCCCAAAGATTTTAATGATTTTATTTTCAAAAGTTCAATAATATCTTTTGGAGGACTTGTAATACTTGGGCGTTTAGTAAAGCTCTGTATCTTGGTGTACTCTTCATTACTTAACCACTTCGGTTTTGCTATCTTGAAACCACAACGGATGATTCTCCAAACCTCTGGTCTCAGAGGATGTCCTTTGACATTTGATGCTTTCTCTAGCAAGTCAGTAACTACCGAACCAGATTTTAATGTCCAACAATTCCAAGAATCATAATTGAAAGACCGTTCAAAATAAGGAATCATGACTTCATTAGTTTCTTTAAGTACTAATTCCGGGTCAATCTTTATGCCCTCTTCATAATTTGGAAGTCCTCCATAAAAGATAGAGTGCTGATTGGATTCCGAAAATTTAGGTGACTCAATAATAAGGTTATCTGGCCGTCGCGGTGATTGTCGTGGTGATTGTCGTCGTCGTGGTGGTGTGGTGTAACGGACTCGATTATATTGCCTTTTTAATACTCGTTCTTCCTCAGCATCACTTGCATTTTCCCTTTTCCCTAGGGTATTTGTATTTCGCAACAGGTCTTGATCTTCTTGATCGTAACTTTGCGCACCGAGATCACTCGACTCTTGTACAGCTTCGGAAACAACTTGACCATTCTTGAGAAGAGAAGAGATAAAAGAGATAAATATATAACTGAGACAAAATACGATTTATGTTGACATAATGATATCAACAAACCTCGACTCCATCCATTATTTCTCCCCTAAGATCTTGTTTCCTTTCAGAGTCATATTCGATGGTTGATGTTGTGTTTGTTGCGTTGCGCAAATCTTCGATTGCTATTCTGTCTGTACGATGCTCCTAATAGGATTGTCAGTAAGACTATTATAATGTTTTATTCTCCTAGGTTTGCCTTAAGACTCACCTCCAGTGCCCTTAATGTACTTGCGGATGTAACTCTTCGACTTATCGATGTGCGAAACTCCTTTTTTTCATTCTTTAGTTCAATTTCATCAATAAAACGTTTTATATCGGCTGAAAAGAATGACTTATCATAATTTGTCAGAATTTTCCTCGCTTTCTTCTTGGAAAACTCGTGCACATAGCATTTGCCACCCAAACTTTGTAGTAACGAATACATATCATCTTTGAAAGTATTGATTGTATCTGAAGATAATAGTTCGGATTTTGACTCTATGTATCGCAGGGCATTAATAATCGACCATTCCTTCTGTGGGTTATGATCGAAGTAATCATTCAGTAGTGATTCAAACATAATTCTTACATTTACAGAAAGAAACACGCACTCATCTAATACGCGTAATATATATATCAGATATTTAATTGGAGTGGCTGATTGTTAAGTCCGGAGCACAAGTGTAACTAAATGAACCAATCGTGTCACATTGCATAGTCATACATAGTCCTTCGCTTCGCTCCGGATTAACAAGACGTGTTATTATTCGAAAACTCTTTCACGCGCATTCCCTACTGGCGTATGGCCATTATTTCCTACGTTAGATGTTTGGTGCTGGTCTGCAGAATTTCCTTGAGCATGCGTGTTCAAGGCATTACCCTGCATGTTAGTGTCCAGGTTTGCGTTGTGTATACCTACTGGCATACGGCAATTACTTCCTGTGTCAGATGTTTGGAAGCATTCTGCAGGAATTTCCTTTTGCATGCGTGCTTAAGGCATTACTCTGCATGATGTTTTCCAGTATACCGTGACTGAAATGCCAACCTTTACAAAAAATCAAAGAAAAGTTACAATATTTTATCTTACAGATCTTTCGTCTCGCGAAATTGAATTTATTGCTTGAACAGCCACAGTTAAAAAAATACAAGAAATTCAATGCTCAAAGTGTACAAAACTTTATTAATAATTTCAGATTAGTAGCAAATTGGGAAAATGATAGAGGATTGCATAGAAACATATGATGCTATCAAAGAGGGAGAGAGTACGCGGATCCTAGGCCATTTAATGCTAGTCCCAGCATCAAGTTATTTCTTTGCTCTCTCAGGCATTTTGTAAATTTCTATACTACAGAGGGTCACCAAAAGTCTCCGAACACTTTTTGGGATAACATAAAACTCAAAATTTAAAGTTAAAACTGAG